GGGGGGGGACTGCGATAAACTGGGGAGAACTGGGGGAAACTGGGAGAAATTTGGTGAGCTGGGAGGGGATGGAGGCGGTGAGGGCAATGGAGCAACATGGCGGCCTGTCCTGAGGGGGAGACTGGGGAGAAACTGGGTTAAACTGGGGAAAACGGGGGGGGACTGCGAGAAACTGGGGAGAACTGGGGGAAACTGGGAGAAATTTGGTGAGCTGGGAGGGGAGGGAGGCGGTGAGGGCAATGGAGCAACATGGCGGCCTGTCCTGAGGGGGAGACTGGGGAGAAACTGGGTTAAACCGGGGGAAAACTGGGTTAAACTGGGAGTAACTGGGAGAAACTGGAGGAGCAGGTCAAACTGGGTGAACTGGGAAGGACTGGGAGCAATGGGAAGGACGGGGGGAACACGGCGGCCGCACTGGGAACTGGGCTAAACTGGGAGGGACTGGGAAAACTGGGAAGGGCTGAGGGAATGGGGATACTGGGAGGCACTGGGGGATACTGGGAGGCACTGGGAGCCCCCCCTGACCCCCTCCCCGTGCCCCCCAGTTGAACGTGGGGGCCTTTCTGGCCGAGCTGTTCCTGTGTTTCGAGGTGCTGAGACCCCCCTTTGTCACCCCCCGGCAGCTGGGGGGGGGCCCAGGTAGGGAGGGACCCCGAATTTGGGTGGGGGGGGGATCTCAAATTTGGGTGGGAGGGGGCTTAAAATGGGGAGGGGGCCCTAAAAAAGGAGTGGGGGGGCTGAAGAGATTCCAAGGTTTGGTGGGGATCCGAACTGGGGAGGGGTCTCCCAAAGTTTGGGGTGATCCCAAATTGGGATGGGGTCCCTAAATATTGGGGGGGGGGTCGTGAAGGGTTTTAGGGTGGGGTGGGGGTCCTGAGACCCCAAATTTGGGGAGGGGGAGGCAGGTTCCAATGTTTCCCCCCCCCCACCAGAATCTCCAGCCACCGGTGATGCCTCAAACCCCAAAAGCAGGTGAGGATTTTGGGGGGTTTGGGAGGGGATTTGGGGGGTTTTGGAGGTTTTTTGGGAGGGGATTTTGGGTTTGGGGAGGGGAATTTGGGTTTTTTTGGGGGTAATTTCTGGGTTCGGGGGTAGATTTTGGGGGGGATTAGGGAGTTTTGGGGTTTTTTGAGGGAGGGATTTTCAAGATTTTGGAGAGGGTTGAGAGTTTGGGAGGAGAATTTTGGGTTTTGGGGGAGGATTTTGGGTTTTGGGGGAGGATTTTGAGTTTTGGGGGAGGATTTTGGGTTTTGGGGGGGGATTTTGGAGGTCGGGGGAGATGGGAGGGTTTTGGGGAGGCGATTTTGGGGTTTGGGGAAGGATTTTGCAGTTTTGGGGTGGGGATTTTGGGGTTTGGAAGGGGTCAGAGGTTTTGGGGAGGATTTTGGGGTTTCCTTGGGGGGAGGATTTGGGGGTTTTTCACCCCAAAATTAACCCTTTCATGACCCCCCCCCTGCAGCTCCCCCGGCTTCAACTTCCGGCACCCCCTGTTGGCAGGGGGGGGGCAGCCCCCAGGTGAGACCCCCCCCCCTCCAAAAATCTGAGGGGGTCCCCAAAATTTTGGGGAGGGGTCTTAGAGGGAGGGGGTTTGGGTGGGCTCAGGGAAGAGATTTGGGGGGGGGGTCTTGGTGGGGTTTGGGGGGGATCCTGGGGGGGGGGGTTTGGGGTTTTTGGGGGG